ATTTCAGTTCATGGTTTGGGAGGTTCCAGACTGGCCCCATCGATTTGGCCTTCTGACAAGGTAGCACATAATGGTGGGAGCACATGCTAAACAAATTGCTCATCTCATGAGTCAGGAAGCAAAAAAGAGGGAAGAGACCAAGTCCCCACAATCCCTATGAAAGGCATGCCCCCAGTGACATAAGCAGGCATAAATATTTTTGTAGGAGTCCTAGCCAGATTCAGAATTTTTCCTGCCTCCTGAAAAGTTGCAAACTAATTAGGATAAAATTTGTGGACAGTCAACTGGGTACCTCCTTGTCAGTGGTGACCTCATGTTGCCATCTCCTTACTGCGGAGACTGCAGAATATAATGCTCCTCTCTTTTGGAGAACTCAGCAATGATTATTGCTCAGAAGTTTTTGAAAGCCCATCACCATCCTTAATTATATTTAAAGTGAATGTTTTTGCTGATATTTTTGTTGGGAGTTACAGGATATTCAGAATGACTTGCATGCAAGGCTTTATGTACAGGTATAGTGATCCTTTTCAAAGTTGATTGAGGTTGAGCCAGAATTTATTCAAATATTGTTTGTAGCATTAAATATTTGGAATTGGGAAACTAAAATTATGATCTTTGCATTTGAATTATAAAATTAATAATTAGAATTAAATTATTGTACAATAGATTTTCTGCTCTAAAGAATATGATATGATGTATATGACAGCGTCATTTGACTTCATATCCTTAAAAGTTTAGCACTAGGTTTCTAATTTGCTCTGCTTTTACTTGCAATACTGCCCTGGTTTGTATTTTATAATCCTTAAAAAAAAATGACATTTAAAAAAAAGAAATGATGTGATTATAGGCAAATTTAAAATTAGAATTAACAGCAAAGAGAGAAAAGGTCAAGGAATGACTGTAGTCCTTAACATGATACTTGACTGAAGACTTTATGTCCTTTGTCATTTAATGTTTGATTTTTCAGATTGGTCTTCCTTGTGTGTGGGTTTATAAACACAACATTTTAAGGTACTTTTTATGGCATAGGTACTAGTCAGCATGGTCTTGGGGTTTTTTTTTGTGTGTGTTTGTGTGTGTGTGTATCTTTATTAATTAGAATTCACGTCCTTGTTACAACTATGCTGTTTAGCTGCAGATACATAGCTATATCATAAGTGCTTTTACATTCATATATTTGTTGAGCCCTGGTTGTTCATGAGGGCTTTTATTCACAGAATATGGCTAAAATTTGAAAATAAAGAACAGTTAAATTCTGTGAAATCTGTTTCTTTTTTTTTGTTGTTGTTGTTGTTGTTTATTTTGGTACTGGGAATTGAACCTAGGAGCACTTAACCACTGAACCACATCCTCAGACTTATTTTTTGTGGTGCTGGGGATTGAACCCAGGGCCTTGTGTATGCTACCAACTGAGCTATATCCCTAGCCCACTTTTTTTTGAGACAGGGTCTTGCAAAGTTGCTTAGGGCCTCAGCAGAAGTTGATATAAAACATATAGCAAATAAGTTAGTAAAAAACAAATATTCATGTAACCACCACCCACATCTAGGGGGAAAAAAAGCCACTAATAGTACCGCAGAAGTTGCTGAGGCCCTAAGTTGCGATCCTCCTGCCTCAGCCTTTTGTGTCACTGGGATTACTGGCATGTGCCACTGCCTGGCAAAATTTTATAAAATCTGAAAACTAAATCAGTCCTTTGCCTTTCAGAAATTCAGAGAACAAACTTGTACAATCAGTTTTGTGTGTAGTCTTGCAGGTGGCAATCTGATTCTTAAAGGATTGTTTCATTTTACTGTGGATTTGGGGAGGGGTCCTTATTGGCACTCAAATAATTTTTTCCTTTTTTTTTTTTTTTAAATGAAGTGGCCCTTATTAGAAGGGAGCTGTTTATTTGGTTGTCCCAGCATACTCTTCAGGGCTAATGAATTGTTACTCTTCTGCCAGTAATCTAGCTCTCTCATTACTGCTTTTATATATACTTGTCTTTTTTCAGTAACAAAAGGGGTAGGAAGCGAAAAGATGAAATACCCTGCATGTGCATCCTATTTAAAGTCATCAGAACTTCTGTAGTTCATTTGAATAGCTGAAGACACCTAGGCCAGTGTTCAAACTTACTGTATGAATAAAATCATCATTGATACTTGTTAAATATGTAGGTTTTGGGGCCATACCTTTGAAGTGTGAGGGGAAGACACTGGTGTCTACTTTATTTTTCTTTTCCTTTTTAAATTGGAAAATAAATCCTACATATAAAAATTGCTATAAAACATATAGCAAATAAGTTAGCAAAAAAGCAAATATTCATGTAACCACCACCCACATTTAGAAATAAACACTAATAGTAGCACAGTAGCTCAAAATTCTGACCTTCCTTCCTTCCCACTTAGGTGAGGAAGTCATTTTCATCCTAAGTCATTCTGTTATACATCACAATTACCCATTTTACCATTAGTGAGCAATTGGATTGTTTTCACTTTTTAATTATTGACTAACATCATAATACAATTGTGTATAATGTGTTTTTACTTTGACCATTATGAATGATATTGCTGTGATATTTTGTATATATCTTTTGGTATCCATGTAAAGATAAATACCAGTGTTTGGTTTCAGTATATATTGCTAGATTATTTTTCAAAGTGCTCATTTCAGTACTAGCAGTGTAAGAATTTCCATTGCTCCATGTCTTTGCAACACTTTGTTTGAACTAATGTGGTATATATGTAGTAGTATTTCATTGTCATTTTATGAAGGGTGTCTYCCGCATTTTATACATGTATTGATTTATTTCTCCTTTTATGAAATGCCTGTTCAGATTTGTTGCCTAATTTTCTATTGGGTTGTCTTTTTCTTATTGATTTGGATTTTTTTTTTTAGAGAGAGAGAGAATTTTTTAATATTTATTTTTTTCAGTTTTCAGTGGACACAACATCTTTATTTTATTTTTATGTGGTACTGAGGATTGAACCCAGCACCCCACGCATGGCAGGCAAGAGCGTAACCGCTTGAGCCACATCCCCAGCCCTGTTTTTTTTTTAATTATGTATGTCAGACATCTTTTTCCCACTCTCTGGTGTACCATTTCCTTCTCATAGTGTGATTTCTGGTGAATGACTCTCTTATAAACTTTTCTCACACCATTCAATATATACCACATTGTCAGGTAATTTTTAAAGCTAAAATGAGTATCTCTCTAAATTTAATAGAGACTGCGGATGTTAATGAGGAAAATCAATGATTTAACTTGTATTAATCAAAATAGCAACTCATAACTAAAATTTAAAATATAAGCCTTAGATAATTGTGCAAAATGTCAAAAAAAWATCCTAGTTGGCACTAAAACTCTTTTATAAAAGCCTCATTTATCTTTTTTATTTTCTRCAGAAGTCACTATTTAAACTTTTAGCTTGCTACTAGAAATAGACTGTTGGCTATACTTTTTTTTAATGCACATGTATATGGTTTTTCTCCCCAGCTTTTTCTGATTTCAGAAATGAAGTTCTAAAGGACTTCTTTAAAATATGTTATTAAGCAAAGTAGGATGTTATGTGTATCAAACGAAGATGGCTTAACTATGTTGTCTGTTGAAGCACTTTTGCCGTTTGCTAATGATATACTTTTCCAAGGGAGACCTGGAGATTTTGGGGTGAATGATAAATGTGAATCTCAGTGAATCATGGGAATATTAGCTTGATGATTGACTGTTCTTTTATAATGGTTAATAGATTGTATTATTATTATTATTATTTTTTAGAGGATCTTCGTAGAACCAGTTTAAACTTGCATAAAACGATGACAAGGTAGCTATAGATGTGGTATATAGGTCAATAGGGTGTGTGGTGCAAGGATTAATCCTCGAAATGACTAAGTGGTGGCTCAGATGTCCGATGTGCTTAGATATACAGTGTCATTTAAATAGACCTTACCTCACATGATTTAAAAAAAAAAAAAAGTCACCTGTATTTATGAACTGCTAATGTTACTCCTATTTCCTTGAATCCAATACAACTGATTTTTTCCTTCAGCCTTGGAATAGATCAATGTTTCTTTGAGTGAGTACCAGATGAAGTAGTTGCATATCCTATCCTCCTTCTACTAAATATTAAAGGTCTTTTTGTGTGAAAAATAGTTTTTAAAAAATATTTTTTTAATTGTAGGTGGACATAATACCTTTATTTTGTTAATTTATGTGGTGCTGAGGATCGAACCTAGTGCCTCACATGTATGAGGCAGGCACTTTACCACTGAGCCACAACTTCAGCCCCTGAAAAATAGTTTCTTTAGAAAATTACTCTGCTAGAAATATTTATTCATGTTGTGCTGTTTTCTACTTTTGTTGTTTTTAATCACTGATTTAGTTTTTGAGGGCAAAAGAGCATTTTTGTTAATAGCAGGTATTTTGGGGCCCCCAATCTGGTACTGTGTGAATTTGGGCCAGGTAATTAACATCTTTGAGCTTCAGTTTTATGGAAAGGGAGAAATAATTATAACTTCTAGCTATCGAGAACTATTAAATGAGATAAATGCATGTCAAGCTCTGGCTCATATTAAATATTCAATAAATACTTTAAAAATTTTTGTCTTATTAGTGATATGTTATCTCAGATTTCTATTCTTTTTTTTTTTTTTTTTTCTTTTTTCTTGTTTTTGGTGGTACTGGGGACTAAATCCAAGGCCTCACACTCACAGGTGCTAGGCAAGTGCTTTACTATTGAGTCACAAACCCAGCCCTCAGATTTATCTTTAATATTTAAAACATTTACCAACAAGATTCAGAAAATGCTTCCAACCTGATATGTATTTGAAAGCATGAAACTGTGTGAGCATGCTGTTCTGGCTATATCAAGGTAATGCAAATGTGACAGTTTTTAGCATGTTGTATAGTCATTTAGTAGTGAAAAAAATATAGTATTTTTCATGTATATCTAATTAGAACAAATTAAAAAATAAAATTTATAGTATTGAAAATTTCTGTAGCTTATTTCTTTCTTTGATTTCAGTGCCCATATATCTCCCACCAGCATCTTACCAGCCTCTGCAGAGTAAGTAATACAGAAGACAAATTTTTAAGAATTTAAAATATTACTAAGCTGTAGAGATAAGAATCATGTAGTTTATTGTGCTCACTTTAGAAATTACATGTAGGCAGTAAACTAATTACAATTTTACATACTGTAATAGGAACAAATGAAGAAATTCTTACACTGATATTCAAAATAAAAGATGAGCTTTCTTCAGATGATTTTTTATTCCTTTTGAATAATTGAAAAATGTTTATAGAGCTTTCATTAAGTTTTCTTTAAAAAGTAGAATTTATGTAGAAAATATGAGTAATACCCTACATTTTTTATAGCTGGGTGTTGGTAAATTATTTTGCCTCATCAGCTTAGGTTTGGAAGGTCTATATAAAATGGTTTTCTATATAGTGAGGAATGAATTATTGGGTTATTGTTCCAATAATCTAGTAATAATTGTGACATTATGCTTGATTGTATTGCATCATCTTTTTCATTTTAAAATTTAAGTTATTATTGTTTTCTTTTGCGTATTTCGTTTTATACTTTTAGCCATTAAATGCCATAATAATTTGTTTTATTTGTGATAGGTCTTAATATTTAAGTTTATATGGCCATATACCCAGTTAGGGTGCCTGCTTCTCACTAACATGCATTCTCTTTTTTAGTGTTTTAGAAAGAACAATTAGAGCAGCTGTGGAACAGCACCTTTTTGATCTGCAGAGCAGCATAGATMATGATCTTAAGAATTTACAGCAGCAAAGTCTGATATGTAATAATGAAGCAGGAAGTATTAATTGTGTTGAGGAAAGACCTAATAACCAGTAAGGAACATTTTAATTGAGAGTTATAAATTTTTTTTTCTTACTACTCTTTTATTTCTTAAATAATGGAGTTTTTGCTTGAGTATTTCTGAAAATCAGTATAATAGTGACTTTGTAAATACTTTTGTGTAAATTATGTATATACTTAGTTAACATTGAAAATCTTATAACTCTTCCATACTAAGTTCATCATAGCCATTGTTTCTTCCTTGAACACTGGGTGAAGCAATAAACTAAAAGCTAAGTATATGTTGTATGTAGAATAACTTAAATAAATTGGACTCCTACTCTGTTTAAGAGATGGTCATGCTGTGATCTAGATAGATAGTTACAGGGACAGCAGATTAATATTAGTCTAATGCATATGGTCATTTTGTAATGGTGGACAGAAACATCCTTTGCTGTTTAAATTGTTATCCTCTGCCACTAGCCTTTCCCCATCCCACATGATTTTTTAGATTAACTGATAATAGGTGAATTTGTGTAAAAGTACCCATTATATATGATATCAAGTTCATTGTTTTTTTTTTTTTAAAGAGAGAGAGAGAGAGAGAGAGAGAGAGAGAATTTCTTTAATATTTATTTTTTAGTTATCGGCGGACACAACATCTTTGTTTGTATGTGGTGCTGAGGATCGAACCCGGGCCACACGCATGCCAGGCGAGCGCGCTACCGCTGAGCCACATCCCCAGCCCTCAAGTTCATTGTTTATCTGACATTTTATCTATTGTTAACGTTTTAATGAAGGACAGACTTAACCTATTTTTCTGTCACCTCATTCCTACACTTAGGATATATGTGTACTTCGCTCGGAGACCACAATGAAATGATTTCATATTTTTATGTATTGTTTGTATTTTGGAGACAGATGTGTGAGATATTCCCAAATTTGGAGTATTGTAGGAAAGTAAAATTTGTTAATTGGGTGGAGTGACTTCTTTGTTTTTGTGGTACTAGAGATTGAACCATGGAGCTACATTCCAAACCCTTTTTCTTTTTTTCTTTTTTTTAATTGGTTTTATTTTTTAAATACATGACAGCAGAATGCATCACAATTCTTATTATACATATAGAACAATTTTTTCATACCTCTGTTTGTATATAAAGTATGTTCACATCAATTCATGTCTTAATACATGTACTTTGGATAATGATATCTATCACATTACACCATCCTTACTAATCCCCTGCCAAACCCTTTTTCATTTAAAAAAAATTTTTTTAGTAGTAGATGGACACAACACTTTTATTTTATTTATTTATTTATATGGTATTGAGGATTGAGCCTAGTACCTCACACATGCCAGGCAGGCACTATACCATTGAGCCACAACCTTAGCCCCCCTTTTTTATTATTTTTTTAAAATATTTTTTTGGTTGTTTTTTTTTTTTTAACTTGTAGTTGGACATAATACCTTTATTTTATTTTTATTTTTTATGTGGTGCTGAAGATTGAACCCAGAGCCCCCCCGCCCATGCTAGGCGAGTGATCTACCGTTGAGCTACAACCCCAACCCCCCCTTTTTCATTCTTWATTTTGAGATAGACTTTTGCTAAATTGCCCATTCTAGCCTCAAACTTGCAATCCTCCTACCTCAGCCTCCTGAGTAGCCGGACTGCAGATGTGTGCCACCATACCAGGTAGGGTGACTTGATTTTAAAAGCGCTAACTAGAGTTGCTATTGAATATGAAAACCATGGTTGGAATTTTAGGAATACTGTATTGTACAAGTGCATGTGTGCCATGGGACGCACTGCAGTTCTGTGTGATGATAGCCCTGATTTGTGTGCTTTGAGGACATAATTAGAAATTATACAGCTGGATCTATAAGGAGTACTTGGGCTGAATAGGAAAGGAAAGGTGGTATCTAAAAGCTGGAAATAGGAAATGTTTTAAAGGATGTAATAACACATCCCTTGGAATTTGTTTTTATCTTAGCTTGGGATCCTTGAAACTTGCCCTTTACTTAGATAGTATTCATATTTTCACTACTGGGGAAATGACTCATGTTTCATCATTGGTGGCAGTATCATCTTTGTAAACCCAAACTGCAATATTTTGCATATTCTAAATTGTATAAGTTGGAAAATCTGCAGTAGAAACTCTTCCTGTTGTACTTGGATAAGGTGTTGAACACTATGGTCTCTAATAGTAAATATATATTAAATCAGGACAAATAGGTCAGTATCATGTAGGAGTGTGTATTGGAAGGGAAATTTTCTCTCTCTCTCTCTCTCTCTCTCTCTCTCTCTTTCTCTCTCTCTCTCTCACTCTCTCTCACATACACACACACACACATATTTAGAAGGCATTTGACTGAAAATTTTCAAAGTCTCTGACAACATCCCAATAAGAAGGAAAAACATAAATTAGCAGATTTTATGATTTGAGTTAATAGGACAAAATGTGGATTTTTATGCAAAGGACATTATTAATATTTATTTTTTAAAGACAGTTATGTTTATCATTAACCTAATCTGATTTTTTTTAATCTTCATTAATAGGATTGAGATTGCCGATGATATTATTCATGCCAGTAGTAGTAACAGAGACTGTTCAGAACCTGTGGCTGGCACTAATTTAGACAATGAAGTTATGCAGCAAGATTTTATATTTGAGGATGAAGAAAATAACCAGGTAAGAAATGTAAAAAAAAAAAAATGTTAGGCATGTTAGATGTATAGCTTTGCTTATATCACATATTCTTTTGATACCAGAAATTATAGTTCAGTGTGTTTGCTGACAAATGGATTTGTCATGATTTTAAATCTCCCAGAATATACATTCTTTCAGGAGAGTTTGGGAACCATCATTGAGTAAAGAAGTAGGTACAAAACCTGTATTTTAATGTATTTATTGAAAAGAAATAAAGTATGAGGTATTGTGGTTGACTTTTGTTATTTTTCAAAGTTTTTCTGTAGTTTTCAGTTTTCTTGAGGAACATGGTATAGAAAAGGAAAATAATTTTCTCTTTGTAGTAGTTAGGGGAACCCCTATAACAAAAGAAAGATGAATGAGAAAAATGAGTATGTTTAATAACATGTATACCTTATATAAACATGGGAGATGGGGAAACAGTAAATCTCTAAGGGAAAGCTTTAAATACCAGCATCCTTAAGATAAAGAAAGAAGGGTATGGGAAAGACCTAGTTATAATGAGATGAGTAGGAAAAGCACCCTAAACAAAAGTAAGGTTCAATAAGCAGACTGATAAGAATTTCTAGTCATTTATTCATCCTTCTCTTCCTGGTACAGAGGAGATAGCCTTACGGATGGATATTTACATTATATAGAAAATTTCTCGGGCTGGGGATGTGGCTCAAGTGGTAGCGCGCTCACCTGGCATGCGTGCGGCCCGGGTTCGATCCTCAGCACCACATACCAACAAAGATGTTGTGTCCGCCAACTAAAAAAAATATATATATTAAAAAAAAATTCTCTCTCTCTCTCTCTCTCTCYCCCCCCCCCCCTCTCTCCCTCTCTCCTCTCTCCTCTCTCTCTTCTCTCACTCTCTCTCTCAAAAAAAAAAAAAAAAGAAAATTTCTCTTAAAAAAGGGTACTGTATGGTGGGTGTTGTAGCTGTATGGTAGTGTGCTGGTCTTGCATGTGTAAGGCTCTGGATTCAAACTTCAGCACTTTTGTGTTTGCAATTTCACAAACTAATCCACTCAATATAATCGTTACACAAAAGAGGCATATTTTAGGATGGCACAGTCTGAACCCCACTTCTRGGATCTTTACACAGAAATTAGAAAAAACCCATGAACATGTTTTTATTTTTTTTTTAATTTATTTTTGTGTGTTTATGTGTATGTGTGGTTGCTGGGGATTGAACCCAGGGCCTTTTGCATGCAAGGCAAGYGTCATATTTTTAAAATAACTAAAATATTGTCACTGTCACATTTGTTGGTGGTAGCGTTGTTTTGTAAAATAATTAATTGCAATTAATTTTTGCAAAATTAATTATTGTACAAAAGCAGAGGGAGGGTAACGGAGGAAGCATGGGGTTAGAAATGATGGTGGAATGTGGTGGACATCTTTATCCAAAGTACATGTATAAAGACACGAATTGGTGTGAATATACTTTGTATACAGCCAGAGATATGAAAAATTGTGCTCTATATGTATGATATGAATTGTAATACATTCCGCTGTCATATGTTAAAAAAATTAATTTAAAAAAATGTACAAAGGCAGGACTTTTAAGATGTATTTCCAAGTGTAGTTTTGGTAAGTTTAACATAAGATACTAAATGAGTAGATACGGAAGTTTTCTTCACGTTTCCAGTCTAATCCATACAAGAAAGTAAGTATAATAAGGAATTTAGAATCAACACATTTGAATTTTTATTTTTAATTGAGACAGATTAATTTAGGACAATAAGGTGTACACATTCAAGGGAGAATGCAGGCTTTTTTTTTTTTTTTCCTCTTTTGGGTAGTGGTAGAAATTGAACCCAAGGCTTCACACATGCAAGGCAGGTACTCTATCACTGAGCTATATTCCAGCCTGATCTTTACAAATTAATAGCATAATAACTTGTTACTTTGGCCAAGTTACCTGGCTTCTGAGCTACTTTGTACTTTCCCATGAACAAGTTGGGGTAATACCTACATTAGAGAATTATTTTGTAGATAAAAGGAAGTAAAAGTATCTGAGTGTGGTGATGCAAACCTGTAATCCCATTACACAGGAGGATTGTACATTTGAGGCCAGCCTGGGTAACTTGGTAAGACCCTGGTAAGACCCTATCTTAAAAAGAATATCAAGGATTGGGATATAGCTCATTGGTAGAGTGTCCTGGGTTCAATTCCCAGTAAGAATGAGAAGGAAAAACGTGTGTGAGTGTGTGTGTGTGTGTGTGWGAGAGAGAGAGATGTGTGTGTCCTATTAGATTATTAACTAGAAAACTATACCAGAGCTATGTGCAGTGACGCATGTCTGTAATCCCAGCAGTTTGGGGGGGAGGCTAAGGCAGAGGACCGTGAGTTCAAAGCCAGCCTCAGCAAAAAGCAAGGCTCTAAGAAACTCAGCGAGAACCCTGTCTTTAAATAAAATACAAAATAGGACTGGAGATGTGGCTCAGTGGTTGAGTGCCCGAGTTCAATCCCCAGTACCAAAAAGAAACAAAGAAAGAAAGAAAACTGTCCCCGAAGTTCAGCTGCTGCTGTTACTTCCACTGATTTGTATTTATTAGATTAATCCCTTTTTATCTATTCAGTTAGTGCTTTTTGTAGTTGTTCCCTTGCCCTTTTCTAGATTATCAGTATCTGCCTGTTTACTGAATCATCCATCGGTATAAAACAATGTTTTTTTTTTTTTTTTTTTTTTTTAATAATTTTAATATTTATTTTTAGTTCTCGGAGGACACAACATCTTTGTTGGTATGTGGTGCTGAGGATCGAACCCGGGCCGCACGCATGCCAGGCGAGCGCGCTACCGCTTGAGCCACATCCCCAGCCCAAAAACAATGTTTTTAATACTGAAATATCTCCCCTATTCAGGGGAAAAACAAAAAAACTGTCTCTTGGCCTTTCATATTGATATAGCCTACATCAAGATAACTGTTTCTGTTTATAATAAAATTCTGGAAGGGCTTGTCTATATCTGTGCCCTAAGGCACAGTGCAGTTTTGTCTAGAATACATCATAGATAAATAACATACTACTATTATTTATTTATTTATTTTTGGTACCAAGGATTGAACCCAGGGGTACTTAACTCTATTATTTATTTTGAGAGAGGGTTTCACTAATTTCTTAGGACCTTGCTAAATTGTTGAGACTGGCCTTGAACTTGTGATCCTCTTGCCTCAATCTCCCATATTGCTGGGATTACAGGTGTGCACTACTGTGTCTGGCTCCTCTCATTATTTTTAGCCATAATTCTGCTGAAACTTCTCTTGAAATCACCAGTGATGTTCGTGTAAAATTTTGCTTGACTGAATAACAAAATTTGATTAAATTATGTAATTCTGCTCCTTTGATAATCCTTCTACATTTGGCTTTCAGGATATCTTACTTTTTTTGTTTTTCCTATTTCACTGGCTATAATAAATCCCTTTGTTGATTGACCCCCCCCCCAACCCACCCATACCCACCTTGCGTAGCATGTGTGAGGCACCGGGTTTGATTCTCAGCACCATATAAAAATTAATAAATAAAAGTATTGTGTCCTGGCCTGGGGTTGTGGCTCAGTGGTAGAGCGCTTGCCTGGCATGTGTGAGGCACTGGGTTTGATCCCCAGCACCATATAAACAAATTAAATTAACAAAATAAAGGTATTGTGTCCATATATAACTAAAAAAATTTTAAAAAGTATTGTGTTCATCTATAACTAAAAATTAAAATAATAATAATTTATTGAATTAAATTTGTATATTACTTTGTTATATACAGTGGATACAGTGGTGCACACCTGTAATCCCAGTGAATCAGGWGGCAAGATCATGTGTTCTACCCCATCCTGGGCAACTTCAAGAGACCCTGTCTCAAAATGAAAAATGATAAGGCCTGAGGATGTAGCTTAGTTTTAGAGTGTCCCTGGATTCAATTCCCAGTGCTAAAAACTAAACAGACAGACAAAAAACAACACAGAGACACACAAAAGAAAGCAAGAATTCTTTTAAAAATTGATTTTAGGATATGTTTATGAATGATGGATTCTTGACCTTGAGAAAAAAAAAAAAACAGCATTGGGCCGGGGTTGTGGCTCAGTGATAGAGTGCTTGCCTAGCATGTGAGAGGCACTGGGTTCAATTCTCAGCATTACATATAAATAAATAAAAATAAAGTTCATTGATAACTAAAAAAATTTTTTTTTAAAAACCCCAGCATTTCCCCATTTTCCTCCTACCTTTTCCAGCTAAAATACATAATAATTTTCTTAGTTGAATAGTCATTTTAAATTGGCATATTTTTGCTTAATATGCAATACTTGGTTACTTGAAAAATTCGAACACATAATTAAATTTTTAATGACTTGATAATTTATATTGGACATGCATGCAGTTTATAATACTGAATATAACCAATGTTATCTTATAGAAGAGGAAAGAATTTCTGGCCAGGATAATTATAGAAGACTTTTTGGAGGAGGGGGATTTCAGACATGCTGGCAGCTGGAAGTTTGCTGGGGCCCCTTCGGCTGTGGCTCTCAACACAGACACAGTCTTTTTGAGGTTGGATTTTGTTAAAAGTTTATAGGGGAGACTTAATGGATAGCATGAGTAAAGATTACAGGGAAATGTTGGATGTTAGTGAAGCATTGGTAATTGTAGGGTTTAGAGCATTGTGGGAGGATATATTGTAGAAAATAAGGAAATATTGGTAGGTTTGTATGGAGCCTAGAGTACTATCTTAAGAACTGGATTTTCTCCACTGAAGGAAAAAAAAGTTTTCTGTAGAAAACTTTGAAGCAAAGGGAATGGTGTACCCAGATCTCTATTTTTAAGAAGGTGGCTGTTGCAGTAAACTTATAGAAAATAGATGTAAGGAAGATCGGGGGCTGGGGTGGGGGGGACAGCTAGTAGGTTTTTTGCACTAGATTTGGTGAGAACGTATAATGGTTTGAAATACCAGCACAAGAGAAGGAAGGAGAATAAAAGCAATTACAAAGGTGAAAACAATAAAGATTT